CCTGCTCCCTTGCTCGCTCCCTCACACACGCGCGGAGGGAGGCGAAGCCCGCAGCAGCCACTTCCCAACTTTCCAAACTTCCCAGCGCAACTTTTTCCTCTCCTCCCCTGCCCGCGCCTCCTCCTCCCCTTCCCCCCCCTTTCCCTCGCCAGTTCCCCGCTGGGCCGCAGCTTCCGCGCACGGCCGCCAGAGGGCGCCCGGGCCGAGGCCCCGCAGGGCCAACCTCAGACCGCTCCGCTGTGGACGCGGACTGGCCCGCCAGTGACAAATTTGAGGAGACGGACCGGCAGGTCCTGGTGGAGTAAAAAGCGAGAGGGGAGAGGGGCAGGAGTGGGCAGGCACTCCCAGACTGGCTGGGAAGGCGGCGCTCAAACGAAACCCAGGGAAGCTGGTATTTACATCTTTGTATCACGACACTGTACCTGACAGCGGCATGCGCTTACTAAGTGTTCTGTGAACACGTTTCATTAAAACAAAACAACAAAGCAGTTTTCCTCAAAATTCCTTGGGACTTGCCATGTAAACAGTCCTCTGCCGTATAGTTCCTTGGACCCACACAGGGTCCTGGTGAGGGCACCCCGGAAGGGTCAGAATTCACATCCCAGTTCCTGAGACCGTAAGAATTAAAAGAGCCCTGAAAACAAGCCTCCTTCTGTTCTGGAGAGGCAAATGAAACTTAGAAAAGGTCATGGGCACCGCTGCTTAGTTCTGTTAAGGAGAGTTCACTGACTTTTCCCATCCTGTCAATGGAGACCGAAGGATGAAGCATTGTCAGAAGCCCACAGCCTAGAGTGGAAGACACAGGGGGACAGATACACAAAGAGGTGATTTAAATATGGACGATGAGTGCCGGGAGACACAGAAGCACAGAGAAATGGGACCAGAGAGGAAGGACTCCTCACACAGCACAGAGGCTCAGGGAAGACTCCCTGGAGTGGTTTTGAAGGGTAAGTCAGGGGTAGCTGAGAAAAGGAGCAGGTGTCAAGGCAGGGAGGTGGGGGTTGCCGGTGCCAGCAGGGCCTGCAAGCAGTTAGGCGTGGCTGGAGCAAAACGCCAGCGGCAGGAGCTGTATCTTCTGGCCAGGCTGGAGACTGTGTGCTTTATGTGTCCTAGGTGATGGGGAATCATTGCAAGATTTGGAGCAGAGGGTGGCTGGAGCCCATCTGTGCTTTCAGGAGGCATGGACTGGAGGGGGCAGGCAGGAGGCAGAGAGGCCAGAGGGGAGACAGGCAGTGAGGGGAGAGGTCCCCGGACCCCCAGCTCAGTGCTCTCCCAGTCCTCCCATCGTGTCTTCAGGCACCAGATTGAGCAGCTGAAGAAGGGCCACTCTAGAAGGCTGGGCTAGAGGGGTCGAAAGGCTTCTGGAGGAACACAGGATCTGGGCCTCTGGAAAGAACATGGAAGGGAAGGAGGGGACACCAGAGACTTTCAGACTGACCCACAGGGGACTGCCATTTCTGCACATCAGGGATGATGAATGTTAGCTAGGTGGTTTCAGCTGCTAGGTGTGAGAGCCACCTCGAATCTCTGCTCTGCACACAGCTGGTGACAGATGCAGATCAGGCCAGAGGGCCTGGATGGGGCAGGAGAGCGGTGTGTCTCCGTGCTTCCCACACACGCAGCTCAGAGAACTGCAGCTGTGACTGAAGAGAAGTCTTTAAAAGAGCCTCCACTCCTCAAGGCTCCAAAACTCCTTACAAAGCCATCACTCCCCATGGTAAGGATGAGGTGAAAACCGTGGGGGAGGGGGAGAATTTAATTCCACTGAGAGGGAGTGTGACGGTCTTCATGGGGAACTGGAAGACACGAGGCAGATAGTGGGTAAGGAAGGACCCGATCGAATTAGAAACTGATCCATGTAATTACAGTGCTGGTGCATGTGACTATGTGTGTGACTTCAAATACTCCAGGGATTTTTCCCTAAAATTATAAATGTCTTGTTGGCTAATTATCATAAGGACCAGCTAGAACTTCCTCCTCATGGCCCTTTCCTATGGCTGTGTGACCAGAGTCCAAACAGCTAACCTTTCTGGGTCTTTCTTGCTTCAGTCAGCTTCCTGTCCTCACTATTTTTCTGAGTCAATGTGTGCAATAGTGTTTTAGAATCTCCACCATTATGGTTAGTGATATTGTTAATGAGATGCAGGACAAATAGTTTTTTCCACTCCTAGCTACATACCCAAGAGAACTGAAAGCATCCATCCACACATAAAGTTGGACACAAAAGTTGACAGTAGCATTAATCAAAATAGTCAAAAAGGAGAATCAATCCAAATGTCCATCAGCTGATGAATGGATTTATAAAATGTGTTACGTTCATATGATGGAATACTGTATAGCCATTAAAAAAGAATGGCTCAGTCTTGAAAAGATTACGCCATGGAAAAGAAGCCAGTCACAAAAGGACATATGCAATATGATTCCGTTTATATTTAATGTCCAGAATTGGCACATATATAGAGGAAGAGAGATGACCAGTGGTTGCTTAGGGCCAGGAGTGGAGAGATTGGGGACCATGGCTAAAGGGGGCTGCTTTTCTTTGGGGGAATAATAAAAATATTATAAAATGATTTTGGTGATGGTGGCCCAACTCAGTGAATGTGCTAAAAAAACCATTGAATTGTGTGGCTTAAATGGGTGAATTTCATGGCTTGTGAATTATATTTCCATAAAGTTGTTACCCCTAAAAAAACCCAAAGAGGTCTGAAGCCCCAGGAGTGGGTGTTCCCCAAGAACGAGGGTTTCTGTATTTTCAGTCTTTTCTCCCACCTGGTGGAGCAAGAGCAGCCCCTGATGAACAGTCTTTAAGTCCTAGAGATTTAAGGGGCTTCTGCTCATGTCTCCCCAAGCAGCGTCAAGTATAGTTCAGCTGCCCTGTTGGGACCTCAGTTGCCCTGTTATCGAGATGAACAGCTTGTGGAGCAGATAACCTTTCAGGTCTTCTGCACCCAACACTAGAGTTCGGAGTTCCCTGGTCACCGCCTGCCCAGGGGCCCGTCTGCAGGATGGGAAGGGGCACAGGGCTCAGGAGGCAGGCAGTGGACTCAGATGACGCCTACCTCCTCTCTGGGGCCACATCCGGCCCACTTTCCTTTTATTGCACTTTAATTAAGTTGTTCAATCAGATGGGGACCAGGAATATGCAGGCTGTAACAGCCAGGGCAGGAACAGAAGCCTTGTAGCGGAACTAAACCAACAAAGTCTGCCTCTTGAGCAGATCCAGGAGCCCCGGTCCTGCTGAAGGGCGTCGCTCAGGCGGGGAGCTGGGGGGCTCCCCTGCTCAGCTGGCCGGCCCAAAGGAGAGGTTTGCTCTGGGTCTGAGGGCTGTCCTCTCGGCTGGCCATTGCCTGGGTCATGGGCCACACTGGTGTTTTCCAGTGGACTTGGCCTGACCTAACTCCCAGCTCCAGTTCCTACCCCAGATGCGCCCAGCTCCCACCCACCCCCAGGTTCTGTCTTCCCCACCCTGGTCTTAGTGGCTTGGAGATTAATCAGTCCTTGATGATTGAAAGACATGAATGCCTTGTGGGGTGAGAGAGAAGGAAAGAGGATTCTAGGACCATATGGAGGTCAGTCGTGCTTAACCCAGTCTAGAGTGATGGAAAGCACCAGAAAAAAAGGTAGACACTGAGATGATTCCAAAAAGGGCATTCCCTCACAACAGTGGGGAAGCAGACACGCCATCACAGAAGAGCAACAGGGGATTAGACTTGCTATACAAGATGGCGTTTGTCACAAACAGAACCTTCTACTAGGGCCAGCCCATTGGGGGAGGAGGACACAGAGGAATCAGCCCAGGATGCTGTCTTCAGGGAGCTTGCCACCCAGAGGAGGAGACAGAGGGACCCCCAAATAGAGTGCTTTGGGAAGCAGATGTGGGGAGGAGAGGGAACAGCAACCTTAGGAGAGAAGAAAGTCAAGCTTAGGAGGAGGTCAGCAAAGGTCTTTGCAGAGAAGGTGATATCTGAGTTGATCTCCAAGGATGAACAGGATTTGGACAGGGAGTATGAGAAAAGGAAGGTCATTTCAGATGGTGGGAACAGCGTTTGCAAAGACAGTAAGCATTTGGCCTGCTGGGAGCATCGTAAACGATGATGGGGGAACTAGAAAGTGAGAACTATCAGGGCAGGTTGGAAATAAGATAGCACCAGGAGGGGCCTGCGAGACCTTGGAAGGCCCTGCATCTTGCAGTGCGTTCAGAGGATACAGTCGTTACCTTGCTGTCCATGCACTGGGCTGGTTAAGAGTGGCTCACGTGTTAGGTTCCGGATGAGTTGTGTTCACAGCCTGTTGTGTGCAGCTGTTAGTGATATAAGGAGCATTGACTCTGTTAACTCACAAGTACTTACTGGGTCCCCATGTGTACTGTAGTGTGTAGGCGTGAAGGAACACAGCCCTGACCTCTGGCTCCTTGCAATTCTTGAACAAGACAACAAATATTCAGGTGACCAGTTAAAATGCACTTCTGTGCCAGGTGAGTAACGTAGTATTGTTAAAGTCCAGAAGTCAAGGAGAGTTGGAAGGTCAAGGACATTCACCCAGGAGGAGTGGGATTTGAATGAGGCTGTGAAGGAAAGTGGGATTTAACTAGATGGAAAGAGCCTTGCTTGCATCTCCATTGAGGGGAGTGATGAGAGCGAAGGGGTAGAGGTAGGGCAGGGAAAGGACATTCTGGCTGAAGAAGAAGGGTGATTCTGAGAAGGGGCTGGAGTGGGGGCTGGCGTGGCACAGCTGTGGTGCTGGCAAGCGAAGGAGGAAAAGGAGCTGGGGATAGTTGTAGACCTACTCTGTGACAGACTCTTTATCTAAAGCATCTCAGCAATGCTGTGGGACAGGTATTTTTACTCCCATTTTAAAGATAAGGAAACTGAGTCTTAGAGCAGACACATGATGTACTTAAGCCACATAGCTGATAATTAGAAGGACTGTCTGGTTCTTTCTACTGAACCACTTTCTTCCTTTAAGACACCGCTGAGAAGGTAGTGCAGGTTGTGTGGACCAGACTGGGTGTGTCTTGTGAACACACACATACAGTCGCTGGGGGACACCTTCACAGCGCATGTGCACATCCTGGGCTGTCTAATTAGGACGAAACTAATTAGGACCAGGGGACGTTTGTCATTTAGGAGACGTTTGCCTTTTACTTTAACCCAAGCTCTGTGAGGCTCTGTTCCTCTGTTTAGGCTTCAATAGAAGTACGGAAAGGGAAAAAAGAAATGTGATGCTTGAAACAAAATACCCCATCGAGCTGACCACTAAATAGCACTTAGACCCCAAGTATACACACAGCTGCTTTATGTAATGAAGGCTGTGGACCATGTTCCTGGATATAAAATAACAAACCACATATAACGTTTTACACTGCTGTGTAATTAGCACGGATCTGTGAGTGTTTGAGCCGACCAGGGCGAGGGGAGGGGAGCTGGGGCCTCCAGCACAGCGAGGTGGAGGGGAGAGCATGCGCTGCTGGGCCAGAAAGGTGGGAATTTGAATCCTTGCTCCCCACTTTGTAGCCATAAGGCCTTGGGCAACTTATTTAAATTCTGGAAACTTCCACTTTCATATCTGTCAATAGGAGTAAAAGTATATGCCTGATAGCACATGGTTTTGCCCTTTCTGCCCCGACAGGAACATTTGGCAACATCTGAAGACATTTTGGGTTGTCATAACTGGGAAAGTGCTGCTGGCATCTTAGCGGGAAGAGATTGGGATGCTGTTAAACATCCTGCAAAGCACGGGACGGTTCCTACAACAAAGAATTACCTTACCCAAAATACCAATTGTACTGAGATTGAGAAATCCTGTCTTACAGAGTTGCTGTTTCAAGGATATAATCATTACTAACTTTAAAAAAAAAAATAGAGGCACTGGGGATTAAACCCAGGACCTCATGCATGCTAAGCACATGCTTTACCACTGAGCTATACCCACCCCTGCTAATCACTTC